AGTTTCTGTCTTCATTTGGTATCAGCAGCTCGGCACAACAGGTTTCCCAGACTCTCCCAATTCTGTCTCCCAGATTCAGCCTGCTCTCCCTGGCCTCTCTTGCCTAGGAAGGGTTGAGAAACCCATTGAAATGCTCTGATCACGTCCCCGCTTAGAGCACTAACAAGGGAGAAATCAGGAAGCGGCAGCACAGACTTGAGTACTGCACTCCAACCCTTGCAGGGCCCTGAAACAGCTGTTGTTAGAAAGGGCTGAGTCACCTTCCAGATCAGGTTACCAGACTACCTGAAGAAAAAGCTCTTTGTTTTCCCACCCCTTTTGTCCATACTAGTCAGAAGTAGGGCTGGAGGCTGAGCAATGCTGCGTGTGTCAGCAGGTTGTTGCATAGCTCAGTAAGGAAAGAAACCACAGACTAGCTCACTGCTATTCTTTTTAGAGCAACAGGAGATACGAGCGGAGAGGTCCCTCTGCGCTATCAAGCACAATTTCCTTGTTGGCAACGGCATGATATAACACTATGATATAATCATATAATACATAATAGAAATGTATCAAACTTCACCCATTTTTAAGCTGTGTAGCTAGCTGCCCTAGAATCTCATTTCCATGATGGTAAATGTTCTGATTTCTAGCTTAAATATATTCATGACCATTTATCCTGGATCTGTTTAGCCTCACTGGTTGTTTTTAATATCTATGACGGTCCTCATTTTAGTAGGCTAAACCACCCAAACTCTTCTCATCTCCCCTTATGTGGAGGCTTTCCTTTTCTCTTATCATTTTCCTGGTCACCTTTGTCTGCACCTGTTCCAGCATAATTTATACTTCCTTAAATACAAGGAACCATCCACCGATAGGCATACATTAAAGACATGTGAAAACTGAAGTGCTTTTGTCAGGAAATGATAAAGCTGGTCAATAAAACTGTAACGACTCGTATGAAAGCATTCAAGTAGACACAGGCAGTGAGGACAAGTTTGGCCTCAATGTGTCTACGTACAAAAGATTCAAACACGATGGAGTGAGGCACAGGGTGCTGCTAAGAGCCAGCAGGATCAGATTCAGAAAAGAAAAACTTAAAGTTGAACGTTAGGAAAATCTTCCTGCCCCTGAGAAGTACCAGGCTGGGAAATGTTTACAGTAGGAGAAAAATTCCACAAAAACACGGTGATGAGCAGTCTGTCCCTGAAGGAACGGAGCGCACATTTCTATTCCTGAACAGAATGGATTTCCAAGTCGGTTTTAGAGTTATCTGACACCAGGAGTAGTTGTCCTGTCCCAGCTACTGATACTCGCATCTTGCTGCAGCTCTGCACCTTCCAGGGAAGATCACCTCCCTGCATCCTAACTCACTTCACATCTTCAGGCATCTCAGCTATACAGAAGGTCCAAAACCCGATGCATTTCTGGCAGTGAGGAACTCATTGCATTTGACAGCTCTTTTCCATTTTCCGTGTTGTCCTTGACAATGGAGTTGCCAGAGATGAAATGGAGACAAGAAAATCCCCGTTTGTGAACACATGCCAGGTTCTCTCGGCCTGAGATGCTCGATGCCCACCACAGTTCAATGAGATGTAGAATGGCAATATCTGATAATCTCTGGTCCCTAGAACTGGGGACTTAAGCATGTTAAGCGCTGATTAAAGTGGTTAGGCCGGGCTAACTTACTTGAATGCTCTCACATCAGTGTCTTAAGTGATGTGTTGCCCATTCAGAAATTCTTTTACTACTTTAGGCTGTTGAATGATAGTGAAAACACCTCATGGCACAATGACAGCACCCCTGTAATTCGGTGAAAAGGGAAATGCAGTTTCATAGTGACCAAGCTTCCTCTTCCTAGAGAGCAAATCGTTGCCTGTATTTACAGTAGCTACACAGAAAGAGGGGACAGCAGGGTTATCCCAAAGCAAAGCAGGGTGACTGCAGCAATGAGGCTGCACTAGGCTGCAAACATGAGCGTTCCTTTGCAGTAGCCCAGTTTGTGCCCTGCCTGTGCAATAGCTCATGATGGCCAGGCCTAGCCAGGCTGCTAGACTGGGCCCTGCTGCAGAGCTTGTTTTTCCCTCCTTGCTGTACTTTGGAACATTTGTTCTGTTCCTGTCTCTCGGACCTGTACATCCACGTTTTACAGTATGTCATGCACAGCACAGGGCAAGCTTAGCTCTTCTAATTTAAAAAGAATAAACACCTTCCCCTTTCTATCCAGTTAAATGGTTTGTGACCATCTGCTGAGTGCTCAGTGTCACACTTGCTTATATCTGTTCTTCCTTCTGGGTAGACCTGGGGGTGAGGATGGGAACAGAACCAATTTTGGAACAAAACAGTTAAAGTTGCATCCTACGCAGCATCCACTGGTGAGAGATTAATGTGGATTTTTGTACTTTGCCTCACTGTGACTCCTTAATCCAGCATATATTCCAAAGAAATAATGCCATTAGGGGATTAGTGCCACAAGTTGATTTGAAAAAAAGGATTTGCAAACATTGAAATCCTATATTCTATGGACTTAATCACTGAGTATCGTTTTGGGGATTTCCTCTCCCTTTATTAGTGTCTCTTTCAATGAAACCCAAGCAAAGTAGCAACTCTGTTTTCAATGGCCCTTATTATCCATTAAAGAAAAACAAAAATCCAAGCATCTGGTTAAAACAATACAGAGTTTAAATCCTCCCTTGCTGTAGTACAATCATTGCAGCTATGCCGGGGAGGCATTTGGCTCAATATTCACATAGAATGTAATGATCCTGGGTATTTATCTGCTATTTTTAATATTCTGAGTGCTGTAACATGCAGTAACACTGCGACCCTTGTTTACTTCCACCTAAGGCAGTTCCCTTCCTCAGCTTTGCTCACATCCAATGAAGCCAGCAGCAAAGCTCGTGTCAATTTTCAACGGGCAGCACAAAAAAATTTTCCAGAACTTTTCTGTAGGAAAAGGAGATTGAATCACTGCCATGTTATTTTTTTTCCTCTTTCCGTAGCATGCATCTCTGCTGCTCTGTTTCCCCTTTCTGCATGAACGTTAACGTAGCAGCCTCCCTCGGGTTTTCTTGCTTGGCTGGATTTGTGTGCAAGCTGCGTAAAGTTGCATGGGCCAAGAGATTGCTGGGGTTGGAAAAATGCTTATCACCCCATTGCTCACTTTGCCAGTGCCGGGTTACTTGCTGCTAGGCTGTGCTCACGATATGTGTGTCAGGAGCTGCTGCCAAGTGAGGGTGGGGGAAGAGTGGGCTGCTCCTGTACCCAGCTTGCTGCCCTTGTTTTTCCCAGCCACGCAGCACAAGCAGGAGGATCAAGTCCTTCTCTTCAGAGCTCTCTCCACCCTCTCTTTCCTGCTCTGTTCCTTCCCTTTCCCCCCCCCTGCTCTGACCCTTCATAACTGAGGCACCAAAATTCAGTGTTGCCTAAACTGCTGAGATGCCTTCAGCTGGCACTGACGGTATGCTGCCAGCCCCACAACAGCTGCATCATCCACTGATTTGATGTTGACTATATTTGTACTCGGACAATTCACAGAGCAACAGGCATCAGCTTTAGGGCCAGACAAAATCTTTCAGAAAACAACTCAGGGTTGAGCTGGAAGGGTCCTTCCCTGGGAAGAGATGAACCAATGCAGCTTCCTCAATGAGCTGGAAGTGTTCTGCAGAACCTGGTTTAGGAAACACCACTTGGACTTCCAGGTAAAAGAAACTTTGTGCAACACGAACAATTCCCTGGAG